CTAAGATACTGCCTGGTCTTTAAGGAATTCAATAGAAATTTTTTAAAATTCAGTAAAAAAAAAAATTCAAACAAAATAAGCAGACTAGGCATATTTTTCAAAGTAGAAAAAAGTCCTTGGTTTTCTCAATGATAGGATATGAAAGTATCTACATTTTAGTTACACTAAAACTGTAACAACAGAATTGTACAGAATTAATTTTTCTTAAAAGATACTAATCAATGATGGCATTTAGGTTTCTTTCAGACTGGGGCAGAAGAAATAGTAGCTCCTAAAGATAATCTGATTAAAAGAATAAATATAATAAAAATAAGATGAAGAAATACTGTTATTGGGAAATATTCAACTAGGGGTTGGGGTATTCACAAGGTTCTTGAAGCCCTGAAATTACTTTCAGGGATATCCAATAGACTCAATGAGAAAATTAGTTTTGTTACTTTACATGCTCCAAGATACTTATGGAAAGCATCCCAATTCATTCTCAAGTCACCATATAAAGTAACTACCACCATCATCTTCATTCTATTGCTATTCATGAAGTTTAGAGACAGGCTGTAAGCTGTTATTTGGGGGCAACAGGGCTACTATGTAAAAACAGGACCTGGGCACTGGTTTCCTTAAATAATGCATAGCATTTACAAAATAAGGTCTGGATGTGATGTCAATTTTAAGGACTGCAACAAGATTATTGATACCAAAGCCCATTCTCTTAGAAAGACGCATGGGAGATAAGCTCTGCCAGGGAGATTTTCTTGCTGTCGACTTCTCTGTTACTAAGACTCCTCAATCATTCTTCAGGGAACATTTTGTGGTATAGTAGAAGAAAACTCATCAGAGGCAGCAGGAGGAGAGATAGGGAGTGCCAGGAGAATCATCTTCAAAAACTCCCAAGATAATGGAACAGTCAATGGGAACTCTTTGGAAACCATCATTAAGGACTGAGTCCACTGGTTTTCCCAGCTTTATACTTGTAACTCTTAACTAGCATTTAGGGGTTTGTCCCAATAACATCAAGCTGTTTATAGTTTTCTCATTTTATCTTGCATTGGCATAACTTTAAAAATCTCCAATCCTATAAAAATTCTGTTATTTGCCCATGTATTATTTACCTAAGACTCTGGTGAGAGCAGGGTCTATACTTGTCTGCAGTCTCAACTGAAGTAGGATGATCTCAAGTTTGAGACCCACCCAGGTTACAAAGCAAGAACCCATCTCATTAAGATTCCGATTCAAAATCTAGTGAGATTCTAAAAATCTTTCCCAGGACCTCTCTACAGGCAGATAAGGTACCTGTTCCTATTGCTTTTAAGTCACATTATACCACATGGATCTGTTTACATTGTCTGGTGTTACTGGCTAATCTCCGAATTTGTCAGAGTTAAGAAATCTCTGTATCCCAGACACTAAGTAGACATGTGAAAAATATGTATAACTCTTAACTGAGTGATCATGCTTCATAGTTAAAAGCAAGAAAGGTTATAAAGCTGATGAAGGTGTTATCAGAAGTCAGAAAAAAATGTAAGAATTCATAACAAACTGGAACTGCTTTAGCCAGTACTGTAAAGTCCTCAAGAAAAGACAGAAAGAACTGTGAATACTCTCACCAACTAGGGCTCTCAAATCAAATCAGTTGGAAGCAGTTTTCATTAAGATGGATTGAATGTGGCATCGTGAGAAACACTTTATCAAATGTAGTGTTTTACTTAGTGATTAACTATATACCAGTTGATGAAGCTCCCTAAATCCTTTGTAATCCCACCACTCCAATAAACATTTAATGAGTATATAAGTTCAAAAAGCCTAGTAGAGGATTTAAACCTTCAATCTTGTTTTTATTTACTCTTGGAACTCAATTTCTCAATTCAAGTGAAGAAAGCTGGTGCTTGAGGCTCATCTGTTGCCCTGGTAAAATTAATGTGCCTCCTAAAGTTTAAATTAACATGATATTTAAGATGAAAAAAATTTAAGCAAAGTGCCACAGTAACAGTCATACTTGCCTTAAAATACCTGAACATTAGCAAATTGTTTTCTTAAAAATGACTGAGAAAGTAAAAAAAAAAAAAAAAAGATTTGTCCTAACTTGGAGATGTAAAATCTGATACACAGAGATGGACTATTGTAACTGTGTCCTGCAGTGCAGTAGAGAGCAGAGATGTCTGCACGTGGTGGTACAGCACACACCCTACTTGCCTGTGTTGGAATGCATGATCTTTTATTTTGCTTCTACTATTTACTACTGATGTATCTCTGGAAAAATAATACCTTTTTCCCCCCCTGAGTTTTCTCATCTTTAAGATGGGAATCTAAATACTAAATGCCCCTATCTCGTTAGTGTGTAATACTATTTAGGAAATGACTAATAAATGACATAATATCATAGAAATATGAAGCAGTGTTACTATTCCTATGTTGTCAACAACTACATGGAAGTAATTAGGTGGTCCATAGTGGAATATCCCTGAATTCTTAGCCCTTTGGAGGCAGAGGCAGAAAGACTAGACTTCGAAGCAAGTCTGCCACCCTAAAAAAATGTGAAATAAAACTTATTTGGTAACTGTAAAAAATGTACTAATTTATATTAATTTTGAACAATTTATCCACCATGTGTATTTTCTTGTGCTCTGAGAAATGAAATAAACTATCCATTAAGTATAAATTGGAAAGAGGAGTGAACAAAGGAAAAAGCAACCTACTTGAGTAAGAAGGGAAAGATGAAGACAACTTAGCGAACCTGAGAGGTTAGTAAATTTGGTAAGACTCTAATAAGCAAAACATGAATTATATGTATCTGTGAACCACCTCTGCTAAAACACCTAGACACTAATAAAAGCAAACGATCAATTGTTTCATTAGAAATATTCAGGAGTTAATAAACAAGAGCTTATATTCCTCCGGAGATTTTCAGTCTGAATAAATCTACATGACAATTTAATAAAAGTTCTTTTGTTGGCAATAAACTCCATATTTAAGCATAAGCATTCAAAGCCATTCATGAAAGGCATACACAGAAACTTTTGAAATGAAACTGAAAAAATATCTATGTTAACTGGGGAACTGAAACTTTGGAATATCATTTATCGTGTTTTAAGTGACAACCATATTTTGGCTAAACAGGAGAACTTCATTGTTTTGCAAAATGTATGAGTAACATTTAAGGAGTATTAATTTGTTTTGAAATTGTTTGACCAAAGCCTAACAAATATATAATATATCCTAAATGTTTTTGTAAAGTTTAAATTTTTAAACTCCAAAAGCTTAGTTGTTATAAACACTAAAGTCTGTATGAAATTTTAATTATTTGTTGATTAAAAATACTGCTTTGTATGTATCGGTTGGGGGTCAAAACCAGGACTTCCTTTATGTGAAGCATATACTCTATCAGAAAGTTACATCTTTAGTTCTGAGTAATGCAGTTTTAATTATTTTCTGCTCGTTAATATTCTCCATTTTCAATCTGAGAGTGATTAAAATAAAACTTTATCATAAAAATAGACTGATCTGAGGTCTGGGGAGACGGCTGTGTAAACACGCATGAGTTTGATCTCTGGCACCCATGTGAAAGGCTCAGACACTTAGGCAGCCTATAAAACCTGTGATAGCAAGGCAGAGAGAGAAGGCTCTTTGGGTCACCTCTTTGACTAGGTATCCATGGTGTATATAGTACCAACCTATTGGAAAGTTAGCAGTTAGTATGTCTAGAAGTTAGACTGGCACTGCACTGCAGTGTTTGTCTTTAAGTAAGCCTTGTTTTATTTTATATTAATCCCTAAAAAACAAGATTAGTGATGCTAGTTGTTCAACTGTGCTGTAAAATGAGTCCTTTAAGTGAAAACGTAAATAAAGTATTTTAAGAGAGAAAAACATATATTTACCTAACTTTTATTGCAGAATATTGCTGTAATTGTTTTACTTTATCATTAGCTGTGTAAAAGACATCTAATATGAGTGCTGGGAACTAAACTCTACTTTATTAAGAGCAGTCAGTATACATTCTTAACTGTGGATTCATCTCTCCAATTTTTAATTAGTTGCTCTTACTCTCTTATGTCTTTAATTTAATTTACAAATCAGAATTAAATGGGGGTAGGAGAAGATGGTTTAAGGTCAGTCTGGGCCACAAGAGTGAGCTGAGGGCAGTTTGATAACTCAGTGAGACCCTTTCTGGAAGCTAAAAGCCTACAGGAAGTGGGCTCAATTCACAGTATAGCCAAAACAAACAAAAAAACCTCAAACCATCAAATCTCTCTCTCACACACACACACACTAAAAACCCTCCATGGAAAAACAAGAACAGCAACCCTCTGCCCCTAAACAAACAAACAAACAAACAAACAAAAGGCAAAACAAAACAGCAACCCACCACCTCATCATAGGTAGTTACTATGTAAAGTGCATGGGACAGAAGTATGGCAGAATATGTTTAGTTCTTTTAGACTTTTGAATGTTTGTGTAATCTTTATTGTTGATTGTGCCTAATTCAAATATTGGAAATTAAAAGTTTTGATATCATGTGGTTCAAACAATTTTGTAAGTTGGAGCAATAAATATAGATTATGATTTTTAAGTTAGGGATACTGAATCTTTATATTTGGCACTATAAGATCTTAGACAAGCACTGGGAGCATTAGGATGTAGTTTTCACAGATAAATGAGGGCTACTTAAAAGGAAAAAGCACTTTGGAAGAGTATTAAGAACAAATCTCTATCAGGAAGTTTTCATTCATACAACTGACAGCATGAACATAAGTTTGGCTCCTTGTAAGCATGTCCACCAACTCTAATATGCCCCAGGTTACAAATCTTTCTGCAAGAGCAAAAGACAACATTATATAATGCCTCAATAGAGATGGGCATCTTGACGAAGATTAGGTTGGCAGAAGAATGGAAACAAAATCAAGACTTCAATCTCAAAAGATTGTAAAAAATATTAAACACTGTCTCAGACCAGGGAGTAAAAAATATAGTTCAACTCTGATCAGAATACAAAAAACTGTACTCACGTCTCGGGCTTTCACATAGAAGGCCTCTTGGAAAGCAGCTTCTAATGAGCCAATAAAAAATACAGGATGGCAGTCACCATATCTATAGGAAAAATTATGTATATGAATAAAGACATGTTTGAAATTCATACCAAAGTCATACAAATTGAATCAAATGAATGATAAGTAAATGTTGTGGCTAATATCTAGTACAGACCAAAACCCAATTAACTTCTTTTAATGCCTGAATGACATTTGTGAATTTTAAAAATTCTTCTTGGTCTGTACAAATATATTAGAACACTGAAATTTTTTAAAATGAAATATATATATATATATATATATATATATATGTTATGAAACTATGACACAAGTAGCACTTCTTGACTAATTAATTTCATCAGATTTTGGAGTAACATTAACTTTTTCTTTAATTCATTTATTTGAGAATACTATCACAGAAGAACAAAACTGATTCTTATGTTTCCATATTATAGTATTAACATTAAAGAAAGAATATCATTTATATCAGAGTAAAAATTAAACAGTATCTTTAAACACTCCAGTAGACTCCAAAATATATAAAGAACTTATGGAACATCTTAAAAAGAAATACTAAAGAATCCAAAAACAAAAGTTAAAAGAAAAATTTATTTACATTTAAATTTTAATTATCTTTTAATTTAGTATTGAGTAAATGATTTTTGTTTGTTCTAAGATATACTAAAAATTATTATGATATATTCTATTCCTTTGAGAAACATAAGACACTACAGGAATGATCCATCTATTAAACTTTTATAAAGATACAGGGATGAACTGAATATATTCCTGCATTGTCACAAATGGTTTAGTAATTATATCACACTGAATAGTATGACTTTCTCTATTAGCATTGTATGAATTGATAAAGAAATCCTTTGAATAGTCTATGGAGAAATGGTAAACAATTTCTAATTAAAATTACACCAAAAAAATCACAGTAGTATAAAAGAACATCAATTTTATAGTTAATATCCTAACCCTACCTTGAAGAAAACTCTGCTGTAAATTGTAATAAGGCATCTCCTTCATTTTCTGCGTTTTCTGGCACTAAAAAACAAACAAAAGAAAAAACAAAAACAAAAAAAAACAAAACAAATAGACACAAAAAACAAACCACATAACATCTAATCCCACATATAAGAAATATATTTAATCAATAAAGAGGAAATAAAATTAAGTTTAGCTTCTGTGATATATCTGATGGGACATTTTTAACATACATTAGTAGATTTTATCAAGCAGAATAAAAAAGAATCTTTAAGAAAATTCCAATGAATAGATACAATCCTATTAAGCATCTAAATAATGTGTCAGTGTCAACTAGGATTTCAATTTTCTTAAAATAGAAATCTTGTGATTAAATTATATAATATTTGAAAGTATTTTAAATGATTCACTAATTGGAAAATTATCAAATTTATATAAATATTATATCAATTTCTGTCAAAAGTAGTCCCAATTTTACCAAGTGAATAGGTCACAAAAGGAATTATGTTAGAAATCATGTTGCATATAGCACTCTTTCTTATTCTCTATCATGCATCTCATAAGTGAAAATGAGAAAGATGGCACATATATTCTACTTTGCTTTTCCTTCTAAAAATGGATAGCAACAATGAATATAAAGGTAATATTACTATTCATCTTCACACTGACATCTCTGACACACGGGGAACAAGTACTTATCAACAGAAAGTATGCTGTTTGTCAATCAACTTCTAAGAAAAAAAAACAAATAGAACTGAAACTAATTATACACTGAAATATTTACTACACACTTTTGTCACTTTAACTAGCAGTTTGAAAATCTGGAGGCTTAGTAAAAAAATCAGAATTCAACAGACTGTGGTTCTAATGATGCAAGTCCACGTCTAAACTTACAGATAAGGGTTTTAAAGTCCACTATTCTTTTTAAGTTTAATACTAGAAGGGAGAATTAGAATGCTTGTCCCAAAGAGCTACGAATACTCACTCATTGGAGATTTTCTCAGGGTAGATGATGCCATGCCAAATACTTCTCCATCATCCACTCCAAATTCTGAAGCATCTTCAAAGTCATCTCCGTCACTATCACTAACCATATGAACATCCGTGCTTTGCTATTTAAGGAAAGTCCTAATCAGATTCAGATTGATTTTAACATATCAAATTCTGAAGCTATATAATTGCTATAAGATAGAAACTTCATCAAGTATGAAACCATCTACTAAAGTCAAGCTTAATTTTTTTTAATTTAAAACTTTTCATTTTAAAGCTCACAAACATTTCTAAACAAAATCAAGGACAGTTACAAATGCAACAAAGATCGAGATTTCTGTGGTATCCTAGTGTATAGTGCACAAACAAACGCCCAGTGGGTACAACTAGAAACTCAAAGACAAATTTAAGCTATGAATCTCTCAAAAGGCTCACTCTACTATATGAATCTATCAATCAGAAACAAGGCAGCATTCAGACTTGTCATTTCCTGATTGCAGTAAACCTCAGTAAGACAAACATTGTTATCCTATTCTTAAGAGTGTCATTAGGAGATACATAAAACAAGCATGAATCAATGTAAATTGAAGGCTACTAACCATGAAATATAGTAGCATGTTTTAATTCAGTAAGCTGCTATTGAGAATTTACTATGTGATAGGTACTGATAAACATATCCCACTTATTCTGTAACAGCAACATGTTGAAGTTTAACATATTAAAAATATCAGCTTCAAAATAAAAACCTGTCTGCTATTCTCTAGATTAAGATACTATTCTAAAATGTTAAGATTTAAAATATTTGAACTGGGTAATGAGTACCAATAAAGTTCAAACCTTGTCTAAGATAAGAAAAGCAATTGGCTCAGTGGCAATCCTATGTTCAACAAATGGTCCACAAAAACTATCAGGAAATAAATGTTTCACCTTCTAAAATATAGTGCTATGTACTTAAGTTATAATATACTAGAAACTATTTCACATAAGAGTTTGAATTAAAATTAAACTTAATATTGTTTGTAGAGGCGGGTGTGCATGTGCGTGTGGGTGCATGCCTGCGTGCATGTGTGTAGGTTAGAGAACAACTTTTAAAAGTCAGACTCCTTCCAGTATGTGAGTTACAGGCATCAAAGTCAGGTCATTAGATATGGCAGCAAGTGTCTTTATTTACTTAAAAATTTTGCGACTCTGCCTTTTCTTCTTTGTATCCATTTAACAGACTGCTGAAACATTTTAAGATTCTACTACTTATTATAAAAGCCTTACTTTTTATATGTAAAAGTAATGATTAGGATTGAATGTATCCTAATCTTCACCTTAGAATTTTGTTCTACAAACTCAAGATCTCCCCCTGGTTTAATGTATCTCATTTTTAAAAATTCAAAACTCTTTTCCATTAAAAAAAATCTCACCCATCTCTCTTTTCGTCTGTTCATCTATGCATACATGCATGCATGTACCATGGTACACATGTGGAAATCAGAAAGAACAAACTTGGGAAGTCAGTTTTCTCCCTCCACTATATGTGAGTGCCAGGGATGGAGCTCAAGTCCTCAGATTTGGCTTCAAGAGCCTATATTATATTCTCTGACCCCCCTGTCCATTTTAAAGCAAATTGGTAGAGATCTTCTTCAGAACAACACATTAAGATGAACACCTACTATAAAATCAGTATTTCTCAACCTGGTAGTTCAATGACCTTTTCACAGGGGTTGCCTTCTGAATATCAGATATTTACAATTTATAACAGTAGCAAACTTGTAGTTATGCAGTAGCAACGAAACAATTTTATAGTTGGGGTCACCACAACATGAGGAAATTACTGTATAAGATGCTTTTGAATTCCCTGTGTGTTTCATCCAGTCAAATATCTATAACATGAAGGTGCCTAAAATTTGAGGCTTAAAGAAGCATGAGCACAAAGTCTGTAAGGTACACTGCAGGTTCCTTTCCAGTGTCTAGTCAGATTCATAGGCAAGTAAAAAGATACCAAGGATTAAACTGAAAACCTCCTCACTACTTCCCCTACCTTGCTTAGTAGTATTTACCATTCCAAGAAACATTCTTTTTTTTTTTTAATTTCCTTTCTCTTATTGTCTTATATCTACTGTGCTTCTCCAAATGGAGTCTTTAATGCCACTTGCTGTAACAACAGAGCCTCACTTTATAAACAATGGTTTAACTTTCTCTATGACACAGTATACAGTTTTTACACAAAGCATGGAATTCTCTTAGAATATTAGAAAATGAAATCATACAACCTCTTTGAATGGAGGCATCTAAAAAGCCAATTTTATTGGAAAAAAAAGTATATTTCAAGTATGAATTATTGAAGTATCTGCAAGAATGAGCTGCTTAATTATGTATAAGGAACTACCAATCTCTTCACATTTTCTTATCAGCTACCTAACAGGTTAGGAAAAGCTTTTTTTCTTTAAAAAAAAAATGAGATAAGCAATCTTTTCCCTTCACTAATATTTGCTGATGAGAATAATCTTTTGGTATCTGTTACAGTTGCAATAAAATTCTTTGAATCTTGAGAATCAATTAACATTTTTAAAACAGCTAAGAAAATCTGAGATTCTGTTTTGTCTGTTCTATTAACCTGTTCACTTTGAAAATCTCCATTATATTCTCCAGACTCATTTAAAAGAAAACAGGCTATGCCCCTCTACCAGTAGTCTATGATTTATGAAGACAATTATAATGCTGACCAATAAATGTTATGATACAAACACTTTAAAACTAATAAGTGGATCAGGAAAAACTTCCAAGAGGAGGTAACAGGTAAGTTGTTTGAAATAAAAATTTAGAACTAATACTTAGCATTAAAACAAAAAGAAGTGAAGCAGATGTTCCCTTGGCAGACATGTATGGACCACCTATTATGTGATTTAGACATCAAAGTTCCACTTGGTGTATGTACGTAATGCAGACTCAAAGTCAGATTTCACTACTGCAGAACACATTTGGAAATACTGGTACTAAGAAGAGTTGCACACTATATGGGAAAAATCTAGCAAAGAACTTGATATTTAAAACTACACAATTAAGAAAAGCAAACTGAATAATGGGTCTTAGGTGTTGCAGATATTAGATTTAGGATGCATTCCCTGAGATGGAACTCACGTCTGACACTGTTCAAATGGCTAAAAACCTGAGACCAAATAGGCCCTGGGCCCACGGGAAAATAAGATACTACTGTTCTGCTAAAGAGACATAACAATAAAATGATTCCTAACAACATTCTGTTATACCTAAAGATCAGTGCTTCATTCACTTCTCATCAGAGAAACTTCATCTTGGATGGGAATCAAAACATGATAAATGGACAATGGGCAAAGAGTGAGAGACCCTGGAACAGTCAATCCTGAATGGGATCTCTTCATCAAAATATCCCCCTCAAAGCTGAGAAGTCTACTTCAAAGAGGACATGGACAGATTCTAAGAGTGAGGGGTGATAGAAGAAACAGTGTCCTCCAGATACAGCAGGACTTATACATATACACGGAGACAAAAGAAGCATGCATGTACAGTGTCTGAACATGTCCAAGCCAGAGCCCCAGCACTGTGAGGGGTCACAGGCTCTCACTTAAACCAAGAAGCTATCTGTAATTAGAACCTATTTGGAGAGAAAAACTTAGTTTTCTGCAATAAAGTTTCACTGGATATATTGACCACACTTCAGGGCCGGCCTCACGAACACCAGTAGATGGTCAACACAAATTTTGTAGACCTTGTGTCTCAAGATTACCTTGCTTAGGCATCTTTTGTCTTAGTGTTCTTTTTTTATATATTGTGGCTTCCGTTTTGTGGGGTGTGTTTGTGTTTCTCATCTTTTTGTTTTTGTTGTTTATTTGCTTTTGAGAGAGAGAGAGAGAGAGAGAGAGAGAGAGAGAGAGAGAGAGAGAAAGTATGAAGTTGAGTAGGTGGGAAGGATCTAAAAATTGGAGGGAGGGAAGTTGATCAGAATGTACTATATGCAAAAAAAGTTTTCAAGAAAAATTTATTTGAAATTAAAAAATAATCACATCGTTTTCCCCTTCCCTTTCTTTCCTTCAGCCTTTCTCATCTACCCACTCACTGGTTTTGTACATGTTCTCTCTCTCTCCTTCCCTCCCTCCCTC